ACATACATTATGTATAATACATTCCTGTTTTGTCTTCGAATATTTTAGTAATTTTTGACCCTGTATCTTGTTTTTTCACTATTGTATCTTTGTTTTGCATTGTTGTTGTTATTATTTTTATACATGTATTATTATTATTATTATTATTATTATTATTATTATTATTATTACTTTATTTTTTAAATATTTATTACAAGAAAACAGACACAATCAGGACAAAAGAGAGAGACTAAAAGGGAAAGCTCATAAGGAAAGAAAAAGAGAAACAAAAACCAGAAACAAAGCACAACAAAAAGCTAAACCAAAATTAAATAGATATTAGAAAATATTATTATAATTGTCATCATAGGTTAATGAGGTTGTTTTATTTTGTAGATGTGTATTTTTACAATTTTAAAGAAAAGTAGTTGAACCTCATAAGGGAATGAGCTAATCTTTGAAAGCAAATTAACATTAGGTTTATGTATAGTGGCAACTGGCAAGCATTGAAAGAGATACTTTCAGTCTTGCTAGTGTTTTTCACAGAACTTGACAAAAGCTCCTAGTTAGGCACTTTCTTTATACAGCAGTTTCTGTTAGTTATTGTTAATTGTTTACTGTAACTTGATTAGATAGTAACACTATAAAAAACACTGCAAACATTAGAATTGATACAAGGACATTGAAAGCAGTTACAATAACACTCTACTGTGATCATAAAAGTTACACTTTAATAAACTAAGATCCAAAATGTGTGCATAACAAACAAGTTCATGAACATCATATACTGTTGTACCACACAGCTAGTGTGTATTAAACTACATGTACATGTATATTAAATTGCCCTGTTAGTTTTTACTGTTTCATAAGTTATGTTTCATAAATAGCAGTATCATTAACAATGACATCAGGACACTCATATACTGCCTCTCTTGTAGCATCTTTAGTCTTGTGAATGCCATATGGTTCACAGGCTTGCATTGGTATATCATCATCAAACCTATCATAAACAATAGTAATGTGCAAACATTTACTTGTCCTTAATGAGTGTTTATTTACTTTGTTTGCTTAACAGTGGTTGTATCAAAGGTTTTATGCCTGTTCATACACAACATTAAAAATTGTATTTTATGATTGTTAATGTATTCATACTTGATAAAGCAGTAGATGTTAATAATGATGCTAACAACTAGTGATATTAATAATAATCCAACCACTGCACCCAGTCCAATACTAGCACCATCAACAGCTCCTTTAATGATAATGATTACTGAAATAGAACATTTATTCGAGTGTACCTTTATCATTTGACCCAATACATACTTCTTGACTTATCAATGTCTCATTACTAATAACCCTCCAGCTTCCTGGTCCTCTACTAGAATATCCACGTATGCCAAAAATATAGCAAGTGTCATCATTAAGACCAGTAATGTTAATAAATGAACTGGTACTGGATACATTATATTGATTCAATGCTTGAATATCAATGTCATCATCATCTACCATTGAACAGTTGACAGACTCTAAGATATGATATCCTATCTCATATGTGATAATGGGATAGTCTGATGGAATATAACTA